GTCCTTATTTTCTACTTCCAATTTGAGTGAGTCCTTACTTTTTTCCTCAGAATTGAGTGATTCCATATTTTTCCCTGTGCTTGTTCAATAAAAGTAACATTCATTGACTTCCACAATGTTTTCTTTTCATTTCTTTGAGTGTTCCTGAAAGCCAACAAGTTGCACTTTGGAATGACCTTATTATTATATCTTGTTTTTGATCTGAGTTTGTTTTACAGAATGAAATGTCTGAATGAGTGCTCATCCAAGACTGGAGATTCCATACTTTTTGCCAGGGTTGTATGATTCGGCCCCCTGTGAGCAAAAGGTGTGAATCAGGGCYCCAATGATAGTCAGGTGATGGGGTACATAACACTCTGTGAACACAGAGTTAATCAAGGCACAAAGATCTATCGTTTGGCTGATGGTCCTTGTAGCAGAACACTTCTACATTAGCAGGGTAACACTGGTTGAAGTGGCCAGCATGGACAGGTGATTCTGGTCAGAGAATCCGAGACTGGAGGGGGAGGGAGTAGCCACTGATTGGGAAAGGCCGAGAGACACAGCCGAGGTGATTGGCTTGGGAGCGTCACACCTAAAACGGTCCGAGTGGAAACAACCCATTAACTTATTGTTCCCCCAGTCTTACTGACAGTCCTCTTTTGCATGTGAACAACAATCAATGCTGTTATAGTTACATACTTTTTAGTATTAATATTTAAGTTCAAAAACAGAGGTCAACAGGTAACTGCATGCCCAGTGCTTTAAATGCAAATGAGTTTAGTGCAGGTGGAGGCATACCAGTCGATGCTTTGACATGGAGTTCTACCTTGTTTTTGTTTGTAACACAATATTTTAATGTATCAAGTAATAACACTCATGATGACATGTTTAAAAACAAGTTAGAACTCGATGAATGTGACTTGTGATTTGTCCTGGGTGTCCCCTGCCCTTTGCACAGTGAAAGCTAGACATGGGCACCAGTGATTCCCCGTGACTCAGAAAAGAATATACAGGTGCTGGTCATAAAATTAGAATATCATGAAAAAGTAGATTTATTTCAGTAATTCCATTTAAAAAGTGAAACTTGTATA